AAGCTGGGAGGTTTTTTCAGAGCTGTGTTGGAGCTGTGACGACCCGATGTGTGACATCCCGATGTGTGACATCCCATCGTGTCCACCTGGTCCTGCTCCAACCTGAGCCTCCAACAGGGTCCCAGGGGTGACAACAGGACCCCTCGTGTCCTTTGGGACCCCCACAGTGAGTTTTCCCAGGAGTTCTGATGAATATTTTGGCACGTGGGTGTGCGTTGCTTCGGTGCATATTTATGCAGCACCATCTCTTTGGTCAGTGCCTGCTGGGATGGGCTGTCCTGGCACGATTCTGCTGTTAAAAACACCCAATTTTGGCACATTTCAGTCCCCAAACAGGTGGATCCATGACCTGTGAGATTCTGATCCACCCTGGTTTAACTTTACTGAGGTTCTGGATCAGCCCTAGAGAGAAGTTCCCTGCAGAAGGAAAAGCATCTTTTCCACTCTTTTTCTGCCTGGGTGCAGCTTAGATGGGGTTTATCAAACTTTCAGGCACAGGCTGAGAGCAAACAAGTCAAATATCACCTGTAGTGGTGAAATTCCATTCATATAAATGTTAATAAATTAAAATAACAGCTTTGGGCTGTGGGTAGGGGGGATTGGCAGCCAGGGATGGGGGCATTCCATGTATCCCACCCTGTGTTGCTTGATAGGTCCCCTCCTTGGGGACCTTGGGGCTGGATTGTGCATTGCTGGAGCCGGGGAGAGGAGGAGCAGGAGGCTCTGGAGAGTGGATTAACCTCCTGTTGTGGACATGCATGGAAAGCAAAGTGTCTGGGCTATGAGGATCCCGGTGGGAAGTTTGGCTGGAGACGTGGGGTACCCGTGTTTTGGAGCAGGGAAATGCTGGGAATCATTTCTGCCCCAGGCCTGGGATGGCCTGGGCCTTGTCTCCAGCTGTGCCTGGGGAACGAAACCAGCTCCAAGCACAAGCCCAGGGCCCTGAGTCATCCCAGGATCCGGGAACTGGGGCTGCGGGGAAGCACCGGAGCAGGAGGCTGAGGATGAGGTTTGGGGTTGGGAAAGCTGGGCTGGTTCCAGCAGGAAGGGGAGGTTTCCCTGGATTTGGGGTGTGATGGGATCCAATCTCCACTGGGGTCTTGTCCCACCATCGCCTGTGTTAAGTCATTCCTTGCCCTGGGAATTTGCTGTTCAAACACTTTTTGGGGTAATGCAGCAGCCAGCAGAGACCCTTCCCCACCATGCCCTTCCTCTCCCAGCCGGAGGTGACATTCCCAGCTCGCTGGGCTTTTCTTCCATGAGCTCCTCGTGCCTTTCTCTGTATTTTTCTCTTCCTCCTAAATCCTTTCCCGGTGGTGAGAACACGATCCAGTGGCATAGCAAGGTTGGCATAACGGGATGTGACACTTATCATAAAAAGAGGGATTTGCAGGGTGGGGGCTGACAGGCTCCTTGGGGCACAAAACCCCGGCTTGATGGTGATGGGAACAGCAAGAGTGGGCTGGAGCCGTGCCAGGAGGGAGAGGGTCAGCGTGGCGTGGGCGAGCAGGAGTGGGTTGGGAGCATCCCATGCCCCAAATCCGGCACCGGGCTCGGTGTGGAACCCAGCTGACATGCAAACGGGCAGCTGGGCTGGGAAATACCAGAGCCTGGGAGTGCTGGGAGCTGCCCAGGCCCTGCCCTGCTCTCTCATGGCCTCCCTGCATGCCGGGATAATTGGAGGGAGAGTTTCTCTTGGAAGCGGGTGTTTTCTCACATGCTCTTTGTTGGAAAGCAGGACGAGCCTGAATGTTCCTGGGAGCTGGGGTAGGAGCGGTGCTCACCGCTGCTGCTGGCTTTGGTGGAGAGTAGGAAACCCCAAAATGTTCACCTTGCTCTGCAAGGACACGGTGGAACAGATCCATATCCACCTGCAATTAGCATCCTGTTCCTCTTTATTCCCTGTTCCAGCCTCCGCTCCGCTGGCGGGAGGCTGGATTGCCATCCCGGCAGCTCTGCCCTTCCCGGGATGCTCCCCTGCGCTCCCGAGAGCCAGTTCCTACATCCTGACCTCATTATAAAGATCACAGAGAGAGAGGAGAACAAATCTGGGCTCCCGGCTGCGCCGGCTTTGAAGCCGCTTGCCCCCGTCGACCCGTGAGAGGCAGCGCAGGAGGAGCCCTGGTTGTTTGGGGATTAACTTCCCCGCTCGGATAATTGTCGGTTAATCGTTTCAGCGCGATGCCGGGGCCGGCACCTCGGCTGCTTCCCTGCGGGATGCAGCCCCCACCCCCGGCTGTGCCCCCCTTCCCCCCGCGGTGTCCCCGATGTCCCCGGGGCCGGGTTGGGACGCGCTCCCGGCGAGGTGGCAGCAGCCCAGCCCCGCTCTGCTGCACTTCCCTGGGTCCCATCCGTCATCTGTTTGTCCTGGTGCCCTGCCAGCGATTGTGCCGATTCCCACACCCACTTTCCATAACCCTCCGTCCTCGCCCGGGCGAATCGCTGGCGAGCTCTCGCCACCCATCCCTTTCCCCTCCTCTCTCCGATGGGATCAGACACGTTCTGGAGAGGGGGAAGAGAGGAAAGAGGGGGAAAAGGACAACAACAAAAACAAAAAAAGATCAAGAGGAAAACAAAATGTGACTCACTGCCTTTAATTTATTTGTATTTATTTATTTACTCCCCCCACCCTATGCTGCAGGAGGCAACGCCGAGTGCTGGCCGTGATCTTCCAGGGAGCCTTGGCTGGTTGTCTGAGGCATCAGGAATGGGGGGGGAATAATTTTCTCCACTCTTTTGGCCAAGGAAAAGATCACAGAGAGGAGCTGCTGGCACAGAAACTGCGTGGCACAGATTTTTAGGGCTGCCCAGGTCTCTGCGTGAGCATCCCGTGCCCCGCCAGCGCTCGACACCACACGGCACAGACCGGAGGGTGGAAATATCTAATTCCACCTCCTACACTGTGTCCTCGGCAGGGGAAAGAGAGAAAGAGGAGATAAAAGGCTGGGAAGCTCAAATGGTGTCATTAGGAACTATTAATGCTCTCATAAAAGGGCATTAATAAACCCGGCAGCTCATCAGCGTCCATTAGCTCCGCTCGTGGCAGGGATCTTTGGGAGCTGCCGGAGTGTGATGCTCCCCTCGCCCTCATCCCGGTGTCGGCCTGCAGGGGGGTCATTCCTCCTGAAAACCATTCCCTCCACAAAAAAAAAAAAAAAACAGGGAGGAAAAGCTCGCAGGAGCAAGCAGGGCTTCACACCTTCAGTCCTTCCGTGCCCAGAGCTTGCTCCGTGCTCCCGGGGTAGATGTTTACTATGAAAGAAAAAAAAAAAAAGGCAGGGTTTGGAGTGCTCATCCCTACTTTCTCCCTCCCGCCCTCTTCCTGTTCTCGCCTCTTAAAAGGAGATTTATCCTTTGACTCTCCCATCCCCGGGGCAAGCCAGAACCCACAGCATCTCGGGGCGAGCAGGCAACCCACATGAGCAGGCGGCAAAACAGGGAGGAGGCCCCGGCCTCTCCCGATAAGCCCATGGCAAAGCCAGGAATAGCAGCGAGGTCCCCGCACAGGGAGCATTCCAGGCAGGAACAGAAAAACCCTCAGTCCCTGCCTTTGAAGAGCGGGGGCTGGCAGCCGGCCCGGCCTCGTGGAGAGCCAGGGATACACCGGGAGCTTCCTGTGCCAGGCCGGGCTGGGCACAGCTGGGGGGAAGCAGGCACAGCTGGAGGGGCTGGGCAGAGCAGATGTGCACATCTGGATGGAGGCAGCACTGAGCATCATCTGGGCAGGCCCCTGTGGGTGGGCTGGTAATGCACAGCTGGAGGGGTGCTGTGCACATCTGGGTGGAGCAGGACGCTCAGACATCTGGGCAAGGAAAGAGCAGCCAGCACAGCCCCCACGGCCTCCTGTGTCCCTTCCAGCACCCCTGGGTGCTTCTCCCCCACACACACAGCCATCCCTCTGCCTTCCCCTCCCCTGGTGATCCAAGGCATTCCAACCTGCCCAAAGTCTTAGTCATCATCACCTCTCTGTCATCGGGATATTTTCGGCTCCGGGGCTGCCAAGGTGGCGTTGGGGAGCCCATATCCAAGGATCTGAGCGGGCCCTTGGCTTCCCTGTGACCTTTGGGCAGCTGGCAGGAGGCTGCCACCAGCCATGACTCAGTGCAGGGCAGGTTTCTTTGCAGGGAAAGGGAAGCTTTGATCCCGAGGAGCCGGGGCACCGACCATGTTCCCCGCGTGCACTTTTTGCCGGCGGTTTTATCTGATGCATCTCGGTTTTTTTTTTTTTTTCGGGGTATAACAACTCCCAGGGCAGGTTAGGACGGAGGAGCCCTGGCAGCAGAGTGTGCGTGGGCAGGACTGGAATAACGGGTGCCGTAGGAGAGGATTTACGAGCGCTGGGGAGGGAGGTTGGGGCTGGCTGGGAACGGCGCAGCAGGTCAGGGGTGAGGTGGGTTGTGCAGGGCCAGGAGCTCCCGTTACTGCCCCTTTGCCATCAGCCCCCATCCCACTGGGTGTCCCAGCAGAGCCTCGCTCCTCCAGGGAAGCATCCCAGGGTGGGATGGAGAGCTGAGCCTGCAGGAGTTTCGGTTGAGGGCAAAGCCCCCAGGATGGGGCAGAGCTTTGCCACGGGAATGCTGGTGCAAATCACCTCAGCCAGCCCCTTCCCACCCCTCTGGAACACGGGTGTGTCGAGCAGCACCAAGGCTTCTAACTGGGATATTGTGGCTTTCCCAGTGTGCCACAGCCTGGATCACTGGTCTGGATCACCAGATCACTGATGGGCTCTGTTGTGGGTGACAGCACCACCTGCATGCCAGGGCATTGCGGGTCCTAAATCCCAAACAGCCAAAGAAAACCCCTGCTGTGCCCCTTCACACCCACCCCAGCCCAGCATCCATCCTGGAGAAGTTGTTCCCTAATGATCTTTACAAGGAAAACGCACAAAATGTTGGAAAAGGAATCCCTGGGGAGCAGTGGGTGCAGCGGGGGGGGCAGGAGGGGTCCATCCCCCCCAAGGTTCCCGGTAGCACCTCACCCTCCTCTCCTTGTCCTTGCAGGGTGCGGATCTGAGGAATGGGAAGGTCAAAGGGCATGTGCTGTCAGGTGAGTGCAGACCCCAAATGAGGTCCCACCAGCTGGGATGAGGTGGTGGCACACCAGGACAGGAGGGAGGGACACAGTGGAGGGACACAAGGGGCTCCTCAGGGCACAGCTGGGTGCTGTCTGAAATAGGAGCCACTTTTTCTCTTCTTTTTATTTTTCTAGAGGCAAAAGTGGTTAAAAAAACCTCCCCAGTGGTTGGAATGGCTCCAAACCAGTGCAAAAAGAGGGGAGAAGGGGAGGGGAGGGATCCAATCCTAAAGAGAAACCCAAGATAAAAGCGGAGCCACTTTTTCTCTTTTTTTTTTTTTTCTAGTATGTAAAGTGGTTAAAAAAAACTCCCCAGCAGTTGGAATCACTCCAAACCAGTGCAAAAAGAGGGGAGAAGGGGAGGGGAGGGATCCAATCCTAAAGAAAAACCCGAGATAAAAGCGGGTGAATCCCGACGACTCCTGTGATGTTGCACGAACAAAGACTCCCGGTTCCAAAGGGGCCAGACGTGGCTTGGGGAGTTCACACCCCCAGGGGGGAGCAGAGAGGGGGGCTGGGGGCTCCCCTGGAGCCCTGCAGGAGCTCTGGCCTCTTGTCCCTTGGTGTCACATCCCCCTGTCCCTGACGGACAGCGAGGGGTGGCTGCACTGTGCATCCAGGGGCTCTCCCCATGGATGCCCCTCTGGCATGGACCACCAGCCCTCAGCAGCTGGAGATGATGCCTTGAGCCAGCTGCAGGCCCCACATCTGGCCAGCTGTGTGCTTCTCTCTCCCACTCAGGCTGTGTGGACCCCAAACCCCCACGGGGCAGCCAGGAGGGCAAGGGGAGCTGGCCATATCCTAGTGGGGTACTGGGGATCCCCTACCCAGGGGAGGCTGCCCCCAGCATGGGGAGGGGGCTCAGTGGGGTGGTGCAGGGGGGGAATGGGGGTTGGAGAAGAGGTTGGGGCACCTGGCACAGAGACAAGGAGCACCCCAGGGCTCCAGAGTTGAAAGAAGAGGAGGAAAAGGAAGAGGAGAGAGAGGCAGCTGGCGAGGCAGGAGGTTTTGGGGCAGGTTATTTCAGGAGAGGCAAAACAGGATGTGGCCCCTGGGCACTCAGGGAGGAGATGAGGGGGTGGGTTTGGGTGGGCACAGGGGCTGCTCTTGCCTGTGAAACACCTGAGCTTCTACTGACACGTGGCAAGGGACCAGGGTGCAGGACATTGTGTGGGAGAGCAATCCCAGGCTGGAGGGGGGCGGGGAGTGCCTGGTTACGTTGGGAAGCAGGTCCCACTGGGCTCAGGGGGATGCTCAGCCCTTACCTTTTGCACCCCCAGGGTACGTCCGGCCCTCGCCCCCTCCCCACAGCGGGTACCACCGCTACCAGTTCCGCCTGTACGAGCAGCCAGCGCACAAGCACATCGCCCTGAGCCCCGAGGAGGACGCCTCGCTGGGTAAGGATCCACTGGGACCTTGATCCCAGTCCCCAGGGGCTCTCCCAGGGGTATGGATAGTGCCACGCGTTCAGCCACACCAGAAGTGCCAGGCTGGGGATGCTCGCCTGGCACAGAGGGGCTCGGGATGCTTCCACGGGACATGGATGGGGTGTTAAATCCTTGCAGGGCGGCAGGAACCCTTTGGAAAATGTCTGGTGATGGGCTGGGTAGCGGGATCGGAAGCAGGGAGAGATGTGGGCTGTGCAATCCAGCACATCCCCCCCTCCTTCCCCAGCCGGAGCTGCGGGCGTTGCATCACCCCCACCTGGGATAAGGATCAGCCGTGGGGAGGGTTTAGCAAGGGATTGCTCAAACGGGGCTGACACAACGCCCCGCCAACTCCCAGCTCCTCAATTCCCAGCTCCCCTCTGCTGCCTCCTCCCAAAATCCTGCCCGGGTGGGGATGGAGGCAGCAGCCCAGACCCCTCAGAGCGCCATCCCTGCTGCCTCCCCCTGGGGCACGGGAGAACCCACAGGACCCCCGGGATGGGGGTTCCTTCCCTCCTCTCGGGAGCACTGCACTCTGTGGCTGGCGGGGCCTCAGCAAGGGAAATTTCAGAACTTTCCCAGCCGGGACCACACGAGCACAGCCCGGCAGGCAGGTCAGGGCAGTGTGTCACTGCCTGACTCACCCCCTGCCTGTTAACCCTCACAGCACATCCCGGGGGGAGCCAGCTCCGGGGGGCTCAGTGTCCCTGGAAGAGCCCCCGACGCCCCTCGGAGCAGGAGCAGGGTGTGATGGAGCAGGAGCAGGGTGTGATGGAGCAGGAGCAGGGTGTGATGGAGCAGGAGCAGGGTGTGATGGATCAGGAGCAGGGCGTGATGCTCCTGCAAAGCTCTCTGCGGGTTCTCTCTGCCCTTCGCTTTGTTTTCTGGCTCATTAGCCCGGCCTGTTAATGACACCATTGATGTCACCTCCCCCTCGCTCCTCCCCAACCCCTCATGCCCGGCGTGGTCAGAGGAGGGGGCTCCCTCCCTGCTGTCCCCACATCCCCCTCGCAGCATCCCAGGGACGGGAAAGGACACTGACACACCCACCGAGGAGCTTTTTCCAGATAAATCCTCTTATTAGCCGGACATGTGGCTCCAACCCCCAAAATTCCAAATGCCCAAAGAGTTCAGCCACCCTGTGGAAAACCCCCCACATCCCCCTGTTCCCGAGGAGTTGTGGGGTGGCTGGGCACTTCCCATCCTGGACCTGTCTCCATCCCATGCCTGAGTTTTCCAGCTCTTCCCGAGCTTCCTGGGAAAGATCCAGCGGATGTTCCCATCATCCCTTGTCAGGCAACTGTGGGGGTCTGGCAGGGGCTGCTGTTTCAGGAGTGGGTTGAAGGTTATTTTTAACTGTTTTGCTGCTGCATCACATCCTTGCCCTGTCCAGTGGGTGCTGCTGGACTGAACCACTGGCAGCCCATCGTTTTTATTCCCAGGGAATGAGCCCTAAAAACAGCCAAAGGATGAGTTCTTGGTGTCTCAAGGGTTTTAAAGAAATCCATCCCCGAGGCAGTGGGATGAACACCAGTGGATCCATCCAGCCCTGCGTGGCTGAGCCCTGTGGTGTGAAGGCAGAGCACAGGGGAGAGGAACAAATGCCTTTGGCAGTTTGTAGGAACAAGGAGGAGGTGACCCCAATCCCAATGGATCATGGATAAGAAACCAGCCAGCTCCTCCATGGCTTTGCCTTGCTCCTCTCCTGTACAAACCAGGCAGGTTCTCCTGGTGATGCTGCTGCAGGCACAGTTTGCAGCAGAACTTCCCATCTTATTTGGCCTTAAACCAGCCCCTTCTTTTTTGCTTTTATTTTGTTCCACACCTGGTGGCAGCGACATCTCCCTCTCGCCAAGGGTGAGGGCAACCCTGGGCAGGGAGATGTCCTGAGCAGAGCTCCTGGTGGTGCAGGGAGGGGTGTTGGACCCTCCCAACCTGCAGATGCATCCCTGTGCCGGGCATCCATCCCTCTGGCAGCTCATCCCCTGGCAGAGCTGAGCCCTCCAGAGCATTTCTCACACGGCTCAGCTCCCAGAAAAACTCCCTCTTGGCGCGGGGTGTGTTTTTTGGAGGCCGAGGCAGGAAAGGTCCCGGGCCAAGCATGGCCGAGGCGGGGGAGGTGACATGTGCCAGGCGGGATGGCAGGAGCTCGGCCGGAGCCTCCAGAAGAGGGCACTAAACCAGGACCTGCCCGCGTCGCCTGTCCCTGCTCCTGGAATAGATCCCTGGGAATTTAAAAGGCGAGGGGCGATGGAGAGCGTGGAAAATAAATCCGTGCTTCTCCTCCCCACTGCCCGGCTATGCCATGCCAGCAGCTCACAGGGAGCCAGGACAGTTCCAGGGCGGCTCTGGTGCCCACCCTGCCGTGGGGATGTCCCTGCTGGGGTGGCACCGGTGGGCACAAGTTGGGTGCTGTGCCCAAGGGCAGCCAGGCAGGCAGTGGCGGAGCTGGAAGGGCTGCAGCACCCGCTCACATCCCTCCTGTGATGGGGAAATCGGTTGTTTACGGCTGAGGAGTTTCTCCAGGGTGGCTCTTGAGCAAAAAACTTGTTTCATCAGGAAAAAGAAAACCACCCTGATCCTTCTCTCCGTGAGGGTTTCTGATCGATGCCGGCACCAGCCGGCTCTGAGTGACCTCGGGCAAATAACTCTCTCAGAGCCTCAGTTTCTCTGCTGGAGTCTGATTCACTCCACTTTTTTGGCCACTGAACTGTCCCCAAGCACCGGCTCTGTCCCCGCTGGGGATGTTTGGGGTGTCCCTGCCGCTGTTCCTCCCGCTCTCCCCACTTCCCTCCCAGCCAGGGGTGTCACAGGCCGCGGTTGTATTTTTGGGGAGATGCAAGATAAGAGTTTGTGGTGTGTGAAATGTCAGAGCCACCCATGGCATCCCCGGGGCGGTGGCACTGCCGTGAGCTCTCGATCCGGTGGCAGGAGCCACACTGAGCCACGGGAAAACCCCTTGGCCTGGGGAATTTGGGCACCCCAGGCAGAGCCCGGCTGCGGTGTGGGGGAATTAAAATCCCTTCACTGCTTTCACTGAGGGCAGCTTTAATTAGCACAAAACCTGGAGGCTTAATTGCACCTGCTGGTACCTGAGTACCTCCCTCTGGTCCCACCCTGTCCTGGTGCTGGATGCCCACCGGCTCTGGTGAGCGTGGAGAGATGCTCCAGCATCCCCAAACCTCCTCCTGCACTGGAAAGATATTTTAGAACTGGGAATAGACTTTATCCTCACGGAAATTTTCCCTCAGGGAAGCAAAGAACCCCCTTTGGGGACCAGGCACTGGGATGAGCCCCACCAGCCACTCTCCCCGTGGCTCCAACCCTTCTCCAGCCCCGGCTCGGGCTCGGGGCCGTGGCATTGACTCATGAGCCGACCTTGTGCGCCTCCAATCCCATCCACCCAGCTGGAAAATCGGGTTGGACTGGGCCCCAGCGGGGAGGGAAAGGCTGTGGCCGGGATGGGAGGCAGTGAAGGGCTGCGGGGGGAGCTCCCAGTCCCGGCCCGAGCCCCGGGGTGTCACTTAATGGTGACCAGAGCGGCCGCTGGCCTCCCGCCCACCTCCGCCGGGGCATCATCAATCTCGGCAGAGAAGCATCAGGGCTCCCATCAGGAGAACATTCCCGCTGATGAGGCTGATAAATTACAGCCGGGGGAGGAGGAGACAGGAGTTTGGGGGTGGGGGGGAGCAGGGGGCTGTGAAAGCTGCGGGGTCAGAGGGATCCCGAGCTCCCCAAGCCCCGAGGGTGCCTCGTGCCTCAGTTTCCCCAGCTGGCGCTCCGGGATCAGGCGGCCAGGCACGTGTGGGTGTCAGCGGGCACTCCTCTTCCTCAGATAAGGGCAGAGTGTGATGATATAATTCTTGGGAAACGAGCTTGAAAACGGACCAAGCCGCGGATGAAACGCCCTATTGTTGTGGCAGGGAGAGGGGACAGTGGCACAGCGACCTCGGCTCCCTGGCTGCCACCACCCCCTATCCCGCTCTCTTCCCAGCTCCATGATCCCGGTGACTCACAGTCCCCGGCCCTGGGAGCCAGCTGGTGTGATTTGGGATGCCTGGCACAGGGATGTCACCCCGGTGGTCACGCCAGGACGGGGCACCCGCTTCGGGGATGCACCCAAAGGGGTTGGATGTGGAGTGTGGGGGCATCCAGACCCCCAGACCCAGTACCCTCCCGGTGCATCATCCCCTTTGCTGCCCCGGGGCTTTCCCTACCCCGGAGGGCTGGGCACAGCCGGTGCCATGGCAGGTAGGAAAGTAGGTCAGGAAAAACCCCGGCCCCACGCGCGGGGCGAGAGCCGGGGCCGGCGCCTGCAGCCCCGCGGCGGCTCTGCCTCCTCCGGCTCCTTTCATCCCGCGCCTCTCCCGGGGCTCCCCGAGCATCAGTGACAGCTCCAGCCCCCCCGGGGAGTCGGGGGGTGCCGCGTCTCGCTCCCACCCTGGTCCCGGGGGGCACGGGCTGCTCTCCCCCAGGGTTTTCCAAGCGCTTTGAAAGCCGCCGGATGAAAGGCACCCGGCAAAGGCTGCGGGCGCAGCGGGAGCATCCCCCCCAGAGACCCCTTTCCCTGGTGCCACACTCACTGGGACCCCTGGCGCTGAGAGGGGGGGGATTGAGACCCCAGAGTGAGCAGCTTCCCCTCCTGCCAGGGGTGGAATTTGGGGATGGAGGTGTTTGTGGCTGTGTGTCCCGGCTGGGGGTGACACCGGTGTGGGACATCAGGACTGTCCTTGCTCTCGGCTTGGTTTGGGCCCTCCGAGGGTGGCAGTGATGATGTGGGGACTCCATGCAGCAGCCTGATGCGTTCCAGCACCTCTCCCAGCTGGAGTGTGGGATGCAGGATCTGTCCTGAGCATCCTGTGACCTCCTTCCTGGGCACTGGAGCATCCCAGCCACGGCTTGCTGCAGCTCCAGGAGGTTGCAGAGTGCAGTGCCATCCCCAGGAGCATTTCCAGAGCTTCTTGGAGCTCAGAACCCGAGATGGGGAGCAGGTGGGAGCTCCACCAGCACCCTGAGCCACCACCACCCCCCCCTATGCAGGTGATGCAGCAGCTCAGGTTGTGCTCAGCACTTTTGCAAGAGCAAAGAGGACGCTTTGCTCCAGTTGGGGCTGAGATGTGACGGCAGATAAAGGGCTGCCAGGCTGTGGTGTGACATTAAAGAGCAGCCAGGAAGAGGAGAGGACAGCTTGCAGATAAACAATGGGCCCCTTTCCCCACCCTGTGACACCGAGGCAGTGTCCCATCCAGTGTCCCACAAGGAGGGGCAGTGGTGACAGTGTGAGCTGTTTGAGTCCCTGGGAAAGCCCCTCTGGTGGGGAGCAGGATGCTCTGGCAGCCACCAGCCAGACCCACGCTGGGTGTCAAACCCTGGCAGGATGCAGGGGGATTTCTGTACCCCACGGGGTGCAAGGGAATCCCTCCTGCCCCAGAGAGGGTTTCCCTGACACCTCCATGGGAAACACCACAGCTGGATCCAGCCATGGGCTGCCCCCAGAGCTCCAATAGCCTCAGGTCTGGGCAGAGAAGGAGGGTCAGGGATGAAGAACCTGCAGTTTGTGGAGCAGCAGATCAGTGTGTGTGTGCAAGGGGGACAGGGTATCTCCTGCATCACCCCCACATGCTCTCGGGGGATTTCCAGCCCAGCCACCCCTGGGATGGGCTTGTGGGAAACCACAGAAAGGTCTGCTCCAAAGGCCAAGGAGGCAGGAGAGGAACTAGCCCCATGTGCCCCCCGGGCTCCCTGCTGTCCCTGGTGCCTCCCAGGGTGCAGGATGTGGGGTGGGCAGAGCAGCGGCCGCACAGGGTGTTAAACCCCAGCCTGGAGCTGGCCCTGGAACATCCCCGTCCTCCAGCCCCGCTCACCCCCTTTCCCTCTCTCCCCAGGTTCCTGGGACCTGAAGGACTTCGTGGAAGATTTTGGGCTGGGTCACCCTGTGGTCAAGACCCAGTTCCTCACCAAATACTACGAGGATTAGCTCCGGTCAGCGCGTCCTTCCCCTGCACATCCTCACCCCACCTCTGCCCAGAGCCGAGGGGACCCCAAGACCCACCAAGGATGCACCCACCCTGCTCCCCACTCAGACCCACAGCACCAACCCCATCCCCTCCACTCCCAAACCCGAGTTCTCTCTCCCACCCTGAGCGGTGTCCCAGCTCACCCTGGCTATCCCAGGAAGGATGGCATCACCTCTTCTCCTCCCCTCATCCCATTTTCCAGACCTTACCCCCAGCATGTCCCGCCTGCACTTTGGGGACCTTGAGTTTGAATGCTTGCAGTTTCCTGAATAAAATATGGATGGAGCACACGGGGGAGTCACGGGCTCCTTGCTGGCAGCAAAAACTGGACAGATCGGGTTGTTCTGGTGTCTGCACCCACTGCCAGGGATGAGACCCCCTGTGGGTGATGGGGGCAGGGGGCTGCCATCAAAACCCTCATGTAGGTGATCCCAGGCATTCCCAGCATCACCCAGGAGTGGGAGTGGGATGGTGGTGCCCAGCCAGGGGCCCATCAGCAGCACCACAGTGTGGGAACCGGGCACTGTCCCGGCCTGACTCCGTCTCTGCCCTGCCTTTGCCCTCAGCCCACTCCTCTTGGAAAGCAAAACCCAAATTAAAGGCATAAATCAGCAGAGCTCTGCCTACTGGCCACTTAGCCAGACCTCCCCTTTAATTAGCTCCTTAATTAGGCTTTCATCTAAGACTCAGTTTTCTCTGAGGCTCCGATTCACCCGCCTGCAAGTCCTCCTGGAAGCATGTCCTGGTGTCTCTGCTGTGACAGAGCTGACTCTGTCCTGCTCATGGCCAGGAACAATATTCCACTTGGAAAAACCGTGGGGAGCAAGACCCCGGGACGAGGGGACGTTTTGCAGGCAGGGAAAGCTGAGGCACAAGGGAATGACTCTCAGGGAGGTCGGGGATCCCTCCGAGGGGGTGGCGATGCTGTTGCTGCTGCATCAGTCCCTGGGTTTATCCCAGGGCAGCCTGTTCCTGAAAAAAACATCCTGCTGGTCACCTTCCCTGGCTCCCCAGCAGTGAGAGTGGATTTCACTCCTTGGTGGGGGGGGTTAAATGTGGCTGGGACTTCCCCTGCAGCAGGATACAACTGTTTGCCTCCCCAGGGGCTGGATCACGACGGCCCCACATCCCCGGGAAAGATCGGGGTGATGGGTACGTCCAAGAGAGATGCAGGAGCAGGGGCCCAGCTCGCCCTGTGGGCACACACTGGGTGAAGCTGCAGGACCCAGGGGGAAGGCAAGCAACAAAAAAAGGAAGCTGGGTAACACCACAAGCCAGGGAAAAAAAAAACAGCAAGCCCGCGGCCGCAGGCGCTAAGATTAGCAGGGAGGAAGTGACACGGCGCCGTGTCATGGAAGTCTGCTAAAGTTGGATTGTTCCCACTCTTTGCCTCTCCTGGCCCTCGCAGGAGGGTGTAATTGGCCCGTCGGGTCGGTGAGAGGGACTGGTGTAAATGAGAGGTCACGCTCTGTTGACATCCTGCAGCCAAACTCCCGGCGGCCTTTCCTCCCCGCCTGTAATTCCGCGTGGCCGGGGGGGTTATTTTTGGTGGAGCGGGAGGGAAAAGCTGATGGGATGTTTATCCTTCTAGGAAATTAGCACCGTTGCTCCTGGGTTTGGTTGGAGGTGAGGGGATGAGCCAGGATTGGGATTGCTGGGTGCCAGAGCCCGGGCTGATCCACTGCCCTGTGTGACCCTGATGGGAATGGGAATGGGATGGGGAACAGGGGTGGGAGTGAGGATGGGCATGGAGGATGGAAATGGGAATGGGGATGAAGATGGAGATGAGGATGGAGATGGGGATGGAGATGGGGATGGGGATGGGGATGGAGATGGGGATGGAGATAAGACAGAGTTGGGGTGGAGATAGAAATGGGATGGGGGGGAGATGGGGATGGAGATGGGGATGGGGATGGGGATGGGGATGGAGATAAGACAGGTGGAGGTGGGATGAAGAACAGGAATGGGAATGAGGATGAGAATGGAGAACCGGAAGGGGGATGGAGATGGAAAGGGAAAGGGGAATGAGATAGGGATGGGGATGGAGAGCAGGGATAGGGATAAGGATGGAGATGGGGATGGGGGTGAAGATGGGGATGGAAAAACACGAATAGGGATGAGGATGGGGATGAGGAATGGAAATGGAGATGGGGATGGGATGAGGATGCAACTGGGATGAGGATGGAGATGGAATGGGGATGGAGAGGGATATGATGGAGATGGAGAGGGAGACAGGACAGGGGTGGAGACGGAGATAGGGACAGGGATGGGGAAGGTGTGGATCAGGAATCTGCCCAGGTGGCTGCAGTGTCCCTGTGGGGGGACAATCCCTGCTGGGACGCAGGATGAGGCACTGGTGGCCTTGTATCAGACACCAGGGCCCACACAGGGCTGCAAACACCAAGTGTGGCAGGAGCTCCAGCCAGCCCCGAGCCACAGCCCCTCACCGGGATGCACGCGGGGCCCTCACGGCGTGGAAAATATTAATTGTGGTTTTCTGGTTCGCTTTTTGGTAATTTAGAAAGAACGAAAGGGGGAAAAAAAAATAAAGCAAAAAGGAGGAAGCCACGTACAGTCACTTCGTGCTGGTCCCACCCCCTTTCTCTCTCCTTCCATTCGCTCACCGTCGATTGCGAGAGAGAGAAAAGAGAAGCTGAGCCTCTCGCTGCCTAAATGTAGAAAGTTTTGCTTCTAAATCAGTTTGTGATGGAAAGGAAACACGTCACGTCC